TCCAAAGGTTTTTTTTTCTTATTTATTATTATTATTATTTCTTTTATTATTATTATTATTATTATTATTATTATTATTATTATTATTATTATTATTGATTAGGTTAGAATAATTTGATATTCCTTATTTTATTTTTATTTTTATTCTTAATTTTATTTAATTTTATTTTTTTAAATGATTTTCTTAAAATAAAATTCTAAAAAAATATTTTTGAGGAAAAGTTGAAAGTATCAAATTTTCTTGAAAATAAGTTTTCTAAAAAATATTTTCGAGGAAAAGTTGAAAGTATCAATTTTTCTTGAAAATAATTTTCTAAAAAAATATTTTAAGGAAAAGTTAAAAGTATCAATTTTTCTTAAAATAGAAACTCTCAAATGTTTTTGAGAAAATTTGGAAAGTATCAATTTTTCTTGTACAAAAGCAATGATTTTTTTGAAGAAAAAAAGGTTTATATCTAAAACTGAATCATTATTCTTTTTTTTCATTTTATTTCTTTTTCTTTTTGTTTCTTGAATTTTTTTTAATGTTAAATAATCTGACGATGGAGCCTCTGCGAGTGAAATAGTAGTTTTCTTACATACTCTTGAGGTGAAAAAATTTTTTCAATTTTCTGCTAAAAGTATTAGAGTCAATTGAGAATAATTTTTAATAATTAATTACTTGATAAATTTTTAAGGTTTATTAGATAACACAAAATTAAGCTGATACCATCTGTTGATGGGTGTTGTGAAAGTGCTATAACCTTCATCACATGTAACCATACTCTCGAACCCTATTCTGGTTAATAGACCCGAGCCTATTCTTTTATGGACCCTTAAACTTAGATGTTCCTTGAAAAAATAGATTCCTTAGGTGGTCAATTGCACCTAGATAAAAAAGATTGATGGTAACTCCTCAAGTCAATGTCTAGTGATAGATCCCCAGATCTAAACGTTATGATAATCCCTAAACTTACAAAGAGCACCCATGATCAAATAAGAACTTAGAAGACCCAAAAAAATTTTCAAATTCCCATAAACCTAGAAATTTTTAAATGCTTTCCTTCATTGCCTATTGCTTGCCCATGAATTTAAGATTTCAAAAAAACCAAACCAAAATCCCTAAAACTTCCTTAAAAAAAAGAAAAGGTAGGGTCAAAACTTTAAACTCAATCCAAAAAATCCTTCAATCATATCCCTCGAAACCAAGAACAAATCTAGAGAAGTTTTTTATTACTTTAACCAAATTACCTTTTTTCTGATTTCTGTGTGTGATGTTTGTAGGGATTTAATCTCTTTTAATTTTGAAAAATAAATCAATTTTGTGATTCTGTTTAATTAACCTGATTTTATTTTATTTTCTTCTATCTTTCCATTTTCATTAAAGATTTTCTTCTTTTTTTTTTTGACTTTTTCTTTAAAAAGTAAAATCAAATCAAAATTTTTTAAAAAATTATAATTATAATTATAATTAAAAAATTGAGCTCTTATCTTATTGAACCTAAAGTTTTCCAATCGGACCCAACTTACATTCGAAGACCCGTTCCAATTCCGAAAAAACTCTCGAAGAAAACAAGATATCTACACATGGTCAAAGAAAATCCATGTCAATAAACAAGACTATTTAAAAAAAATCATAATCAAGTAAAGATTACAATTCGATTGAATTATCATAAATTTATATTCCATAACATCTAAAAAATCAATTAAATTTGGTGAAACTCGCATGGTAAATTGTTTAACAAGCTCCTAGGTTATTTCTAATCGGTTTAAGACATTTTTGCATTACAATTATTGTTTTTTTTTTGTATTTTTAAAATTTTTGATTTTAATTTTAAGATAAACTAAAATACCCTTCCAACCCTAAAGATAAAAATATCTCCTCAAATCTATTATCTTATATGATAGTTTTATTAATTTTCACTATAAATCTTAGAACGAATATAGTTTAAATTTAAATTCTAAAAGTTTTTTGAAATTTTTATAGTAACCTTAACAATAACAAATTTTTTATATATTTATATTTTTGGACCTATATCGCTCGTCTATGTGTGAATAGTGAGTTTTTAGGTCATTTTTAATATGCTTTAAATGGATAATTTGGCAATTTTAACTAATGACCTCGGAACCAATATAATTTAAATCTAAATTGCAAAAGGTTTTTTGAAATCTTTATAGTAACCTTAACTATCAACAAAAATATTTCAGTGGAATTTGTATTGAGAAATTTTTTTTAAAAATAATAAAAAATCAATTTGAAGTTATAACATTTTATTTAAGTTATTTTTCTTATTCAATTCGGTTCAAATATTTTTATTTCATTTGGTTCGATTTTCAAATTGAAAAATAAAAAAATCAAAAATATCTTAACCAACTTGAATAATATATTTTTATTAATTATATATTTTTTCTAATTTTTATCAAATAAAAATAACTATTTTATATTTAAATTTATTAAAATATATTAAACTTTATATTAAAATAATAAAAAATAAGTAATTTTTAAAATCTAATAAATTGAATCAATAAAATGCTAATTTCAAAGGAGATTTGATGTGAATTCAGATCAGAGTTCAATTAATTATAAAAAATTGTAACTTGAATGAGAATTTAATTTTTTATATTTAATCAGCCTGCATAATATGCTTATCACTTTCTAAACTACACGAGCACACATATATTTCGGCTTTTAAAGTATAATAACACTAGTTCTTTACGATTTTTATATTTACAATAATATTTAATTTAATTTATTAAAAATCTACACAAATTTTTTGTATATTCAAAATTTTGTTTTTTATCACTAAATATTTGTATCTTCTTTCATTTTTATTTTTAATTAAATTTATATATTTAATGTTGAAATCTTTGCTTTGATTTTTAATTTCATAAATTGAAAGTACAAAATTCCAAATTAAAAAATATAATTTATCAACAAAATTTGTAAATAATTTTTTGACCTTCATATTAATTTAGAAAAGTATATTAGTAAATATTTAAGATATTAAAATTTTTAATTAAATTGATTTCATAAATTTGATTGCTTAATTGGTAAAAATGAAAATTATGTTATATAAAAAAAGTTTACATAAAATCCAAATTTAATAAGTATTTAAAGATCTCAAAAAATTATAAAAAAAATATTGATAATTAAGTTAAAGTGTAACTGAAATTTTAATAATAAAGTTATTAAAAAAATAAAAAAATTTGAAATTGAATACAAAAATGTGATTTAGGAAATCAAAATCAGATTCTAAACAATTAATCGATCACTTAAACATTTATCTTATCCATGCATACATGCACCAATGATCTGAAAATTTCATTCATTAAAAAAAAAGAATGATCAAAAAACTTCAATTTAAAATTTTTGTCACCATAATAGAATAGATTTTTGAGTAACAGCAATAAAATTGATATATATTATCCAAAAATTATATGAAAATCAAGAAATGAAAACTTCTTTAAAAATAAATCACATACCTCAAGAAAACAAAAAAAAATTTGAAAAGATCTATTATTTATTCTTATTGATAGTATAAATCATTGTAAAAAGAAAATAAGAACAGAGAAATTTAAGAGAGGAAATAGAGTTTTGAAAAAGAAATATGAATAAAAAATATTTTCAAAAGAAGAATTTGAAGAAATCTAAAATGGAAGAGTAAAGAAAAGAGTTTAAGATAAAATAAAATAGCAAAAATCTATTATGTTTTCAATTATACATAACATATTTTAAAATATAAATAATTGAATATGTTTTTATTTATTTATTTATTTAAATGAGTTATTTTATTTGCTTTTAATTGGATATTTAAAAAATATTTTAAGATGGATATTTTTAAGTCCTTAAATTAAAATTTTGAAATAGTAATTTATGCATGTTCTTAACAATTTAAACAAATTTGAATAATATTAAATAAAGTAAATAATCATATATCCTTTTATCTATTTTCAAATTAATATCTGAATATTTATTATTATTTAATTATTTAGTTTAAAAAATTTTTATATTTGATTATTTTGATAATATATATTATAATTATTTATTATTATTTTAGTGTCATTTAAAGAAATTATCCGTCTAAATATATATAAATAAATTTTATTAAATTTATATATATTATAATATAGTATTATATAGGATGAGTTTTTAAAGTATATGAGACGTAACGAATCTTTCGGATTATAATATTTGGCTATCCCAACGTAGGAATAATGCTAAGCTCAAATTCAATCCTCCTTCTTAGAATTTTATTTATAAAATAATTTCAAGTAGTGGTAGGACACCATCCAAGAAATTGTTTGGAAGCTCTATTCATTTGTGATTTGTCTTTTTTTAAGAAATTTTTTTTAAGTAAGAAACGACAAATTTTGTTTTTGTCTTAATTTTAAAATTTTTAAATTTAAAATAGGAATAAAATAGTATTTTAATTTTTTAATAATTATAAAATTTTTATTATTCTTTATTATTATTATTATCTTAAAATATATTTATTAAAACCCTACAATTTTTATAATTATTATGAAAAGTATAAATTATTAATTTTATCATTATTTTATGTTAAAAATTTTAAATTAAGAAGTTCTGTTTTATTTTCAAAATTTTATTTATTTTTAATAATATGTTTTAATATGATAGTAATATATAATTTTTTATTGATTTTTTTAAAATTACAATTTCTCTTATAAAATTTGATCAAGAATCATATTATCATTATTTTAAAATATTTCTGATTATCATGAAATAATTTAAATTTTAAATTTTAAAATAAAACTCAAATAAGAAATTTGAGATTATAATACACTTTATTTAATTTTTATATTTTACCCATGTTAAATATAAAATAAAAAATATATAAATATCCCTACGTAGAAATAATGCTAAAATCATTCAACTCCTCGATTTTAGAATTTTACAATCTCGAGCAGTGGTAGGATACCGAAGAAACCGTGTGGACCCAGCTGTATTCTATTCATTTGTGCTTTGTCTTGTCTACTTTTAAACCAAAAAGATATATCTCTGAATGAGAATCCAATGTGAACATACTCAAAATAGTTACCAACGGAAATATTATTTTACCAAAAGGGTAAGACTTTCACAATCTCTGCTTAAACTCTTCAGCTTTTGCATAGCAGACTGCAATTTTTTCCTCTACTTCAAATTCCTACTCTTTCATTTTCTATCTACTTCCTTCTTCTTTTCATTCCTTCCTCAAATTTATTTATTTCATCATGTCTTTCATTGGAGAGGCTGCTCTATCTGCGCTCTTTAAGGAGTTGTTTACCAAGTTTGTCAACTTTGCCTCTTCCGAGTTCGAGTTTGTCACTGAGAAGCGGGCTCGCGAGGAGATTATGAACTGGGAAACTATGCTGAGGAACATCCATGCAGTGCTTGCTGATGCAGAGGGGAAGCAACTGCAGAGCCAGGCTGTGAAGATTTGGTTGGCTGACCTCCAAAACTTGGCTTACGACGTGGATGACATCTTGGACGAGTTTGCGACACAAGCTTTGGGGCGTAAGTTGATGAAAGAACATCATGCAAGCTCAAGTAAGGCACCAAAACTTAAGCTTACTTGCTGCACTGGTTTCCATCCAAGTTCTATAAAATTTAATTATAAGTTGATGTTCAAGATTAGAAAGATTACTAGAAGATTGGAAGGTTTAGCAACACGAAAGAGTAACTTGCAGCTAAGGGAGATCACTTATGATGTTGGAATGCCCATGACAATCCCAAGAAGGCGGCCCAGTACTTCTCTGGTTAATGAAGCTAATGTACTCGGCAGAGAGAAAGACAAGAGGGCAATACTTGATTTGCTTTTGAGGAACGATGGCAGTGATGCTGGAGTCTATTCTGTGATTCCCATCGTTGGAATGGGGGGGATTGGAAAAACAACCCTTGCTCAACTTGTTTACAATGATGACAGCATAAAACATCATTTTGATGTTAGAGCTTGGGTTTGTGTTTCTGATGAATTTGATATCATCAGGATAACAAAGATAATTCTCCTGTCAGTCACCTCGCAGCCATGCGATATAAATGATGATTTGAATTTGCTTCAAGTCAAATTAAAGGAGAAGCTATCGAGAAAGAAATTCTTGCTTGTTTTGGATGATGTTTGGAACGAGAACTACAACGATTGGTTGGCTCTTCGATCTCCTTTTGATGCAGGGGAACCAGGAAGCAAAATAATTGTGACAACACGTAGTTCCAATGTTTCATCAATTATGACAACTGCTGCAGGCTACTCATTGCAATGCTTATCAGAAGAAGATTCTCTCAGAATGCTTGCTTATGACACATTAGAAAGAGAGGATTTTACAGGGCATCCAGACTTGAAAGAGATTGGCTTGGAGATCTTGAAGAAGTGTGATGGTTTGCCTTTGGCAACTAAAACCATTGGAGGACTATTGCGCACAAGGGTGAATCGTGATGCATGGAAAAATATATTAGAGAGTGATATATGGAATCTACCTCAACATGGAAGTGACATAATTCCAGCTCTATGTTGAGTTACTATTATCTTCCTTCACGATTAAAGCAATGTTTTGCTTATTGCTTTCTAATCCCTAAAGATTATGAATTTGGTGAGGAAGAAATAGTTCGATTATGGATGGCAGAAGGTTTTCTCAATGGAGCAGACACTAAACGGCAAATTGAAGATTTGGGCAGCAAGTACTTTGAAGAACTGGTATCAAGATCATTCTTTCAAGCATCTAGCAAGGATGAATCTCGGTTTGTAATGCATGACCTGATTAATGATCTAGCTCAATTCGTTGGAGGAGAAAAATATTTTAAAAGAGAGAGACACGAGGAAATGAAGTACCCCGGTCACACTCGCCACTCCTCTTATATCATGGGCAGGTATGACAATATCAAAATGTTTGAGTCCTTTTTTGAAGCAAAGTCACTACGGACGTTCTTACCCTTTGAGATGCTGATGTGGAATCCGTACTACTTAAGCAATAATGTTCTCAATGATTTACTGCCGAGATTGAAATGCTTGAGGGTGCTCTCTCTAAAATGGTACCACATCACTGAAATACCAGAGTCTATTGGAAATTTGAGACAGTTGCGCTATCTAGATTTCTCTTATACTGACATAAAAGATCTCCCCGATTCAATATGCACCCTTTATAATTTAGAGACTCTTTTATTAAGGTCTTGTCAGATAATTGAGAAGTTGCCCTCAAAAATAGGAATGTTAGCCAACCTATGTCATCTAGATATTGCTGGTGCTTGGAGAATAAAGGAAATGCCAAGTGGAATTGGTAAATTAACAAATCTTCGGACATTGTCTAATTTTGTTGTGGGCCAAGGCGATGCACTGAATATAAGAGAGATGCAGAATTTATCAAATCTCATAGGTCAGCTTTCTATTTCAGAGTTGCAGAATGTGAATGAAGCTCAGTATGCAGGGGAAGCTAAGCTATCAAGTAAGGTTGACCTCGATGATTTAGAGCTGGAGTGGTGTGAAGACTTCAATGAAAATTTAAGACAGAAAGAAGTCGAGGCTGAGGTGTTGAACTTGCTCCGACCTCATGAAGTGCTTAAAGCACTAGCCATCAGGTATTATGCTGGAATAGCGTTCCCAATTTGGATAGAAGATCCTTCATTTAAAAATTTGCAATTATTAAAGTTTGTAAATTGTCCAAATTGCACATTATTACCTGCAGTTGGAAAACTACCACATTTAAAGGGTCTTTATATCAAGGGAATGAGTAGCGTAACTTGTGTTGGCAATGAATTCTATGGAGAGAATTGGCCAAATGTGTTTCCATCGTTAGAGACATTACATTTTGAGGATATGCCAGAATGGAAAGAGTGGAAGGCATGTGAAGTTGATGAGCAAGGAAGAAAATTTCGTTGCCTTCGGGATCTCCTTATTGTGGATTGTCCCAAATTGATAGGGCCATTGCCGAGTACCTTCCATCTTTGGAAAAACTTAAGATTCGTAATTGCCAACAATTGCTAGTTTCAATTTCAAATCTTCCAATGCTATATAAATTAAAAATTGATGGGTGTGAAAAAGTAGTGCTTGGGAGTTGCATGGATCTTTGGTCAGTAAAAAAAATCTCCTTTTCCAACATTTCAAAGTTAGAATGTATAACAAGGGAAAGGACGTCGACATTGGAGTGGATGAAAGTAGAAGATCTGTATGTTAAAGGTTGTGAAGAATTGGTTTCTTTGTGGCAAACAGAGTGGGGTTGGTTGGTGCCTTTGAGATCTCTTCGTAATTTAGAGCTTGAATATTGTCCGCAGGTTACTTCTATAGCCGCAACGGAGGAGGAAAGAGAGCTTCCGCAATTAGACATACCCTGCAACATTGAACATTTGAGAATAAAATATTGTGAAGGCTTCCAGAAGTTATCAAAAAACCTCGCATGTCTTAGAGAGTTAGAGATTGTAAAGTGCCCAAAATTGGTTTCACTTTTGGCGGATAACTTGCCCTCAACTCTTAAAAGTTTGGTGATAAGTGAATGTGAGAATTTGCAGTGCTTATTGGAAGATGGGGAGAATATCAATTTCAGCAGCAATTCTCTCCTTGGATTTCTTAAAATTAGTGGATGTAAAGCCCTCAAATCATTATCATCAAGCAGTAAGTTACCCGTGGGGCTTAAAACGTTGAAGATCAGGAACTGTCCAGAACTGGAATTTGTAGCACAGGAAATTGGGGATAATACTTGTCTTGAATCTATTGAAATCAGGTTTTGTGAAAATATTCAGTATTTACCCCAAGGAATGGACAAGCTTAAATCTCTGTATCTCTATGGGTGTCAAAAATTTGAGGCTTTGCCCAACCTCAACTCTCTTCAATACTTGACCGTAGAGAGTTGTCCAAGTGTGACATCCATCCCAGAATGGGGTTTGCCTACCAACCTAAGAAGCCTTTACATCCATGAACCCAATATTAGTAAGGCAGCAATGGAGTGGGGATTGCATAGACTCACCTCTCTTAAACAACTCCAAATTTCTGGTGGTAATTGTGATGCGGTAACATTTCCAGGAAGGGGTTTGCCTACCAACCTAATAATGCTTGACATCTCTGGACCAAATATTGTTAAGGCAGTAATGGAGTGGGGATTGCATAGACTCACCTCTCTTACAAGACTGGACATTAATGGTAGTAATTGTATAGATGCGATGTCATTTCCACAAGAGGAGATCAAGCTGCCCCCTTCTCTCAATCATGTTTCTATCTCAGACTTCCAAAACCTAAGGAAGCTATCTTCCAGAGGCTTTCAGTATCTTTCCTCTCTTCGATTTTTGTGGATAACCAATTGCCCAAAGCTCGAATCCCTTCCTAAAAAGGAAGTGCTTCCCTCGCTTTTGGAACTATATATTAGAGGTTGTCCAGTGTTGAAGAAAAGGTGCAAAAGGGACAAAGGAAAATATTGGTCCCACACTGCTCATATACCATTTGCTTACATTTGATGAATTCATCTATGTGGCCCTGTCTTGTTTCTACAAGAGGAGATGCATAGCATTGTTGTTAGAAGAGGGATTTCTGTCCAAAAGCTTTCAGAATCTCTGTTGAAAAAATGTAAGTTCTCAAACCTTAATCTTTGCATCTCATTTCAGAACGACTAGCCTCTTCCATTTGTAGATAAATATGGTTGAATGTTGCTTAATTGCTGGTCAGATAGTGCAAACATGATAGAAGAGGAACTGAATCAAGAGACCCTAGGTGCTTTATTATTATTATTATTAGGTATTGAATCAGTTCTAAAATTCAACCTCTCTCCCAGGAGTGGAATTCTGCACCATTTATGAGCCCTTCGAGCAGTGACTCCGCTCAGCCACCTTCAATTGATGACTTTCAAATAGTGATGTTGAATGTTTGGACGTAATCTTTTCTACAAGAAATAGGAATAATGCTGTCCACCTTTTCTTCTTTGAAAGGTCTAGTTTCTTCAATTTGTAGCTAAATGTTGATGACTGTCCCCTGCTATCAATTGATAGAGAATCAGATCGCTTGGATGCCTTGTGTGAATATTCATGATAGATTCATCCGTTATCTACAAAAAAGAAGCATGAATTTTCAATTGGAAGCCAGGTAACTAGATACTGACATCTTGTTTCGTAACTATTTTAATTAAAATGGAGATCACCATAATAAATATCATGTATTCTTGTACTAAAACAGGCAATTGCAGAATTTCTCTGTTAAGGAGCTGGCCATTGATTGCATGCTATTGTGCGTAATAAGTCAGGTATTTCAGTTTTAATTATTTTCTTTTGCCTTTGAATTTAAGGAGATATAAAGATTGATGGACCTTTGGCCTTTTACTACTATGGTACTTGCCTGATTTTAAAGTCTAATGTATACTAATTGAGGTGAAAATGAAATAAACATAGTTTGTTTTTACAAAGCTAGTTGTATTTCAGTATTAATCATTCTCTTTGGTAGCCAATGCTGCTTATTTTTTATAATTGACTTCTATATCTAATTTTCAGATTGTGGATTTGAATAGATTTTTTTACAATACTAACGGAGATTATCAGATGCATGGCAATTTAAGCTAAAGAACATTGCAGCTTTTACTTACATCAGTTCTTTTTCTTACCGATCTCTAATTTTACATTTTCTTTGCAAGCAATCAGATGCAGTGAAGCTCAATACAAGAATTAAACCAAGCACCAATCCGAGTGGACATATAGACATAAGCTTCTTGGCTTTAGAGCATGAGCAGGCTTAAAATCCATCTCTTCTTTTCTTTGTAAAATGGTCATTGCTTTCACTTGACACTCCATGTCCTTCAAACTGCTGCTGGTAAGAACAATTAGAAATGTTCTGGTTTCTATCTCTGTTGTGCGTGTGCATAATGAGTGCTCATTTCGTATCACCATGTATTTTGGCTCTTCAGGTGATACTTGTTTTTGCCATCATTGATTGGATGTGACCAAAAGCAGTATGACAGTGTGTTGATGGATGTTTGGATGTGGCCTTCTCTTGTTTCTACGAGAGGAGATACATAGTATTGTTGTTAGAAGAGGGATTTCTGTCCAAAAGCTTTCAGAATCTATCTGTTGAAAAAATTAAGTTCTCAAACCTTAATCTTTGCATCTCTTTTCAAAACGACTAGCCTCTTCGATTTGTAGATAAATATGGTTAAATGTTGCTTAATTGCTGGTCAGATGGTGCAAACATGATAGAAGAGGAACTAAATCAAGAGACCCTTGGAGCCTTATTATTATTATGGTATTGAATCAGTTCTAAAATTCAACCTTGCTCCTAGGAGTGGAATTCTGCACCATTTATGAGCCGTTTGATCAATGATTCGACTCAACCACCTTCCATAGATGACTTTCAAAGAGTGATGGTGAATGTTTGGATGTAATCTTTTCTACAATAAATAGGAATAATGCTATCCACCTTTTCTTTATCTCTTTTTGAAAGGTCTGGTTTCTTTCTTCAATTTGTAGCTAAATGTTGTTGACTGTCCCCTGCTATCAATTGGTCAAGAATCAGATGGCCTTGGTGCCTTGTGTGAATACAGAATATTGATGATAGATTCATCCGTTATCTACAAAAAGAAGCATGAAAGCTCTTAGCTACCATAGCTCCTGACATCCTCCTGTTTACTGCAGTATGTCTTGATCTTATCCATCATTATGACCTTTTTTTTTTTTTCACTTTCAACAGTTCACTTATTTAAAAAAAAAAAAAAAAAAACAGTTCACTTATTTATAGAACATTGTGGAATTTGAAATATCAAATGTATGGTGAATTAACCTAAGGAACATCACAGCTTTATTTACATAACTTCTTCTCACCAATCTCCAAGTTTACTTTTCTTTACAATTTCTTCACAAGCAACCAGATTCAGTGAAGCTTATTTCAAGAATTAAACCAAGCCTCGATCCTAGTGGACATTAAGACATAAGCTTCTTGGGATTAGAGCATGAGCAGGCTTGAAATCCATCCCTTTTCTTCTTTGTAAAATGGTGATTGCTTTCACTTGACTTTGCATGTCCTTCAAACTACTGCAGGTGAGAACATTTAGAATTTTCTGGTTTATTTCTGTTGTTTATATGCACAATCAGTTCTCATTTCGTATCACTAACTATTTTGGCTGTTCAGGAGGTATTCGTTTCTGCCATCATTGATTGGTTAGTGGACCAAAAGCAGTTTGACAGTAGCTGTTCCATAAGATGTTCTACGAATTATTCTTTTGTCTCTGTTATTGCCTACCTCGTTATGCCATGTAAGTATCAAAGAGTTTTAGAGAATTTACTGTGTTCAGTTTTTGTTACTTGCTCCCACACAGTTAACAGAATGCTTTTGCCTTTTATGACAGGATGAATGAAACTCCCACATTCTAATGCTCTCAAGATTCAGTAGTGGGAAGTTGTCTGAGCTGCATCTCCTCTTCTAAGGGTTTAGGTGTTTATAAATGGATGCATAAGGAAAAAAAGAATGAGAAAGGGACACCATTCTTCAATAAACAACCAGACAAGGTTAAGGTGTTTGTAACTACTTGATTTGTCCCCACAAACCAGACAAGGAAAAAAAAGATTGCTCTTGTTAGCGCATTTTATAAGAAATTTGTCTTTTTTTAGCATAACTTGTAATATCATGTGGTTAAACTAGAGAAGACTCATGTTGTAATCCCATTATTTTGAGTAGTGGACGGTTGAGTGGACTTGGTCCCGTGGTTTTTTCCCTTGCCAAAGGGTTTTCCACGTAAAATTTGGTGTTGTGCTTTTATGAGCTGATGATCATTCATTTTATCAAGTTGATATCTAATGATTAATTACTTATCAAATGATCAATTTAATTTGTCCAAAGGAGAAGAAATTGGAGTTGTGGTTGAAAACTGCCACAGAATACTCAACAGGTCAAGAAATCTGCCCAACCATTTGTTTTTTTTTATTTTTTTATTTTTTTTATTAGTGTGTGCTAAAATTTCTTTCAATCTTTTCTTAGCAACAGTTTACAACCGTTACCACGCCCCATATGTTGCAATACTAAGGGTTTCGTTAAAGACAAAAATATGGTTTATCACATGAACCAAAAGAAAGGTTGAAACATAAACCAAAAGATCTAAACCTTAAATGGTAGTATTAAAGACACATTAAAATTAGAACTTTATTTTTTCACAAGTGTTACTACTAGAATGCAACCAAAGTGGTTTAGGTACAGTGCTCACGGGCCACCCAACGGCTGCATATTGGCTATCACATTCATCCCTGAATTCACATTCTCTGGTGTTGATGCCATGGTAAAATATGTGATGCTGCCTGCTGTGCCGTGGATTAGCAGGTTGTCTTGTGGCAGTGTCAAGTTCATGCCGGGGACCGTGTAACATGTGTCAAACCCACCGAGAGATGTCACGTTGGTGACCATGACCAGTCTCCGAAACTCGTTCCGGGCGGCTACCTAAACTGTTTCTACTAGCCGAGTGAAGACCGTACCTTAACTGAATAGCAAAGTTTAATGATATTTCAATGACAAATAAAGTACACAAACATATACTTAAAATTTGTAATTTGATATATAATTTATTAAATCTTTATTTCAAAATAATAAAAAATTTCACTAAGTACTTAAATCTTGCCTATATCTGATTAATCATACATTGTTATATACTATTGTTGTTGCTATTAAAATTGATAATAGTGCTGATATGAAATTAACATGTTGATTTTCATGCTTTAAACATTTAGTACTTTAAAAAACTCCTCTAACTAAAGGCTATGGCACTTGAAATTAAACAATTCTCAAAGGTCTTATAAATTATGCTCATTAGTCTTACAAATCATACTTAATTTTAAAAGAGTCATTTTTCAAAAGCTATTAAATTTTAAAAACTCCTCTAAACAAATGTTATAAAACTTTAAAATTTTAAGAACTTCTCTAACTAAAGGTTATAAAACTTTAAACACTCATCTAATAAGAGGTTACGATACTTTAAAAATATTTTTCTAACCAGAGGCTACAATACTTAAAAAAAAAAAAAAAATCTACTTTTGAAAGTAAACTTAAATAAAAACTTTGGATATCATTATCAAAGGATTCCTAGATATCACCACTGAAAAAACACCATTGTCTTCAGATATTATCACCAAAGAATTTTCATATATCACCACTAAGAAAATGTAAATGTCTTTAGATATAACCATTAAAGGATTCTCAGTTAAAGCTCAGATATCACCACTAAGAAAATTTTAATAAATTCAATCTTGAATATCCATATATCACCACTGAAAAATCATAAATGTCTTTGAATATCACCACCGAAAGAGTTTTGATAAAAAAAGAACTTGAATATTCAAATGTCACCACCGAGTGAATTTGATAAAAGCTAGGACATCACCACCAAGTAAATTTTGATAAAAGCTCGGATATCACCACCAATAGAGTTTTGATAAAATTCAATCTTGAATACTTAGATATCATCACCAAGTGAATTTTGATAAAAGATCAGATATCACCACCAAGTGAATTTTGATAAAAACTCAGATAGCACCACTAAGTAATTTTAATCAAATTCAATCTTGAACAATCAAATATCACTACCGAAAGAAGTTTTAATAAAAATCCATATATTATCACTAAAACATGTGGAACTCTGATATTACCACTGAGGAGTTAGAATAAAAATTCTCATATCATCATAAAATATACCAAAGACTTGAATATTACTACCAAGAGATTTGAATAAAATTTGGTATTATTATAAAAAAAAAATTTGACACATTTCTTAAGAATTGTTGTTCATTCATTTTTAGTTTTCTCAATTTTTCCTTTTTTCTTTTAACTCCGATTATTCAAATTTTCCTTTTCTCTTTTTCTCAATATTTACTAAATATAATTATGATGCAAACATTTATTTCCAACAAATGATACAAATGTTAATGTCTTTATGTAAATAATTTTTTCTCAATGTTTGTTCTTTCTACTTTTTCATTTGATTTTGTGTTTAATTTCATAAAATTTCATGTTGAAATGTTTTGGTGCAATTCAAAACTTCTAGAAATAGATTTTCGAAAAGTCTTAAAGTTTTTCAAAAATGAGTATCTAAAAGCCTCGAAGAACTTTCTGAAATTCACTTTTGAAAAGTTATATTACTTTTGGAAATCCATTTCCAGAAAGGTTTATGATTTTTCATAAATCTATTTTCGAAAACTTGTATGAAAAAGAAAGGATAATTAAGTAATTTTACTTATAAAAAATTTTAAAAAGAAAAAAAAAAGCTAAGGTGTGATAAGAAAGGATTATGGTGCATTTAATTACATTCAACTTATAGATTGCATCATCTTACTTTCAAGTGTGGAGATAAATGGAGAGGGTTAATGATAATCCTAATAATTTTAAATACGATACAATGACATGACAAGAAAAAAAAATATAAAAATGATAATTTAAAATTTTAATAAAAATCATATATAAATTTGAAAAAATTACTAAATATATTTTGTATTTAACATATCGATTTGAATTTTATAAAATAATTTTCATATTTTATATTTATTTGACATGTAAAAAACGTTAACCTCGAATTGTAAGTCTAGTCAAGGATAATTAGACATATATGTATGGCAAAAACCTTAAATTGGCTTGATAGCATATGTGCAATGTAGATTTATACTTTTAACAACGTTGTGCTCATGGTATTCGATTAAATTGAGTAAATTGGCCATTGGATTTGAATATCAAAGACGTGGGAGATTTTTTATTTCTCTAATGGATAAATATTCTAAATCAAATAATATATTCTAGGATCCAATAATTCTCCAAATAAAAGTGACTGGCATGGCTCTCATTTTCTAGTATTAAATATTTTAAAAGTTCGTCAATTTCTTCTATAAAAACCCTTTCCTCAATTCATCACCTTCATCATCACTAACCAATATTTCTCTCTAAACAAATAATCCATCAGTCATATGAAATAATTTTATTTGAAAAATGGCTTCAAAGATTAAAGCATCACCTGCTCTATTTCTCTCCCTTAACCTTTTCTTCTTTGCTTTAGTAAGCTCTTAGACCTCAAAGGGCTCTTCTACAACAAATTAGTCCAGGAACCCCATTGTTATCCGTCCTAAAGCCACGTTCCCTGGTGAAAATAACCATTTGGGCTTGGGCCTGGGCCGATGTAATCCCCTGAACCTAGGTATGTGTGCCAATTTGTTAGGTCTGGTCGATGTTGAGCTTGGTAATGTACCAACCCAATCCTGCTGCAGCCTGATTCAAGGTTTGGTTGATCTTGAAATTACTGTTTGTCTTTGCACTGCCATCAGAGCTAATGTCTTGGGCATCATCAACCTCAACTTACCAATTTCATTGAGTCTCCTACTCAATAATTGTGGAATGACGTCCTATGCAGAGTACCTGTGCAGCTCATGATTGTTCTACTTCTTCGTCAGCAATGTTTAAACACTGTTTGCCTTCATTTTGTCTTGACATTAGCGTTTATTGTTTGTTGCCCTGATTCATGTTGTACAATAAGTCCTTGTATTGCTGCTGGCTCGTATAGGAAGGCTTTTCAACATTCCCTTTCATTACTTTTATAAACATCCGGAAAGAAACAAATATTTTTTGGTTATTCTACATAAAGTAAAAATGTTTAATGACAATAAATTTATGCTTCCACTTTCTCACACGAACAAAATAAATTTATACTTTCACATAAAGAATTGTTTGTCAGGTACGAAAACCTGAAGAAAGATCCGATATTTGAGGTTGTCACAGTTTCAATTCTTGTCACTAAAATTAATATTTAATCGACAAATCAATCAGTTGTTGACAAGAAAGACCCGATATTGAACATAAAGGGGATAGCAGAATTCCTAGGCTTTTCTTTTTCAATGGATAAAAGAGAGAAAGAGGGAGTGATTGAAGAAATAGCCAAGTTTTGTAGCTTTAGCAATTTGAAGGATTTGGAGGTGAACAAGACTAGAAGAGTATTACACCTGAAAACAAATACCATTTTAGGAAAGCTGAAGTATGTGAGCACATCAATTATTTCAACTCATCTGCAATTGAACGTTTTGGTAAAATTCTTGAAGAAAAATTGAGTGGATTTGGTTTGGTCTTTTCATCTGTCTTGAACAAATTTTATTTCAGCCTATAGAATGCATGCAGCTGCACCCTCATTTCAAGGCTTCCATATTTACCTTTGCATTGTCATTGAAGCCAATTTTGTAAGGTCCCTTGTGCTTACCTACCAAGGGCTTAAGGGGGACTTTTTGTTTCTTTTTTGGATAAACTCATTTGCGTTACTGTGGGTTTGTATCCTTTACGATATAAAAAAATAACTTTTCATAAATTTATTAAATTTGATATACATAAACTTCCTTAAACCGACTCAAAAAAGACATAAGAAACAAATTCCAACATCCCCTTGCCACTAAATTAAAAAAAAAAAAAAAAATCATTTCTTAATCTTTGCCAATCTTTTGTTTCTGATCTAAATGGTATATGAATTTTGATGCACCAACAAATACCCACCAGCCATAAAATCATTAATGAAAAAAATACTAGAATGCGAGACAAAGAGAACAAAGAGAAAAAAAAATGCTTGAATATGAATCATAGAATTGGTTAATAATTAATTCTGACAAAATTTATAACAAACTCAAGTACAACATACATATTAACTCCATTAATCTCTTCTTTATGAATAAATAAGATTTATATAAGGATCATCTCAAAATATATAAAACTCAATTATATTTCAAGCCCAGTTTTGCGAGAAAGGAGTAAGATCTAACAATAGATATCAATCGGCATCCGATCCTTAAACTCGGGGTTCCTTAATCGGCGACCATGTTCGTCTCTTTGTCCAACTTCCCTCGAAGGATCAAACAGCCAAAGAAACATTCTCAATTCCCTGATAAACAGGATTTAGCCATCAAGCTCCAGCTCCACTACTGAGCTGTATAGTCATTTTTATGTTCATAGCTGCCAACTCGGCTGCCAAATATCTAAAAACATATGGCATTGCAACAGTCTCCATCCCTTTGCTTGTCTGGCAAGCATGGCATGTAACCTTCTTTGGAGCCTTTGCAGGAGGCAATCCACCGATCTCTCTAACTACACGCTTTGGCGGCTGGACAATTGCTGTGGTAAGGATGCTTCCACACAGAGAGCAGACATCAGCAATGTGATAATCAGAACATGTATGGAGCCTATCATGCAACAAATATGCAGCCCCATGAGCAAGCATAGCATCTCGTTCCATCTCTCCGAAACGTACACCTCCACCACGCTTTCTTCCTTTGATCGGCTGTCGAGTAATTTGATCAACTTGTCCGGTGGCACGAACCTGCATGCAATATAAAGAAGAAAATTCCACACTAACCGCTTGCAGCCATGAAATCCAACAATTAATTGCACACACACCATGAAATACAATGAGTACAAAGGGAAATAACTGATTCCAAAGAACAATTACAACACCATGAAATCCAACAATTAGTTGCACAAACAGAAATATAAAGAAGCAAATTCCACACTAACTGCTTGCAGCAAATGGATTTTGACAATACATGAAAGTTATTTCATAGGGGCAAAAAAATAAACCTCGCACATGCAATGAGCGAGATTTTATAATTACAAGTTCATAAATATATGGGACATTATGCCTATGCACACATAAAGAGAATCTTCAAAAATAAAAATTAAAAAAAAAAAAAGCATACGGCATGTGAGAAAGGTTTTCCATTATAAAAAAAAAAAGCACAATCCTAGCAAAGATCACAAAAATGCAGAGTGCTCCTAACGGAAGACCTTATATATAAGGAGAAAAAACGGGTAAATTTCAATAGGATTCACATGCAAATCATAACAGACACTGGTCCGTCTGAGACATGTTACCATTTATTTAGGCCATTATCAGATAGACATGGGGAACCCATGTAAACTTCAGACAATTTACAAAAATATATATAAGAAGAAAAAAAAAACCTATCATTTTATTGCAATCAATTGGACCCTCAAATATTTATTTTCATCCAATTAAGTCATTAAACATCTATTTTTTACTAATTGAACACTTAAATATCTATTTTCACCCCAATTGACCTCTCGATTGGATGTAAATGGGTGTTGGCGATTAAACAATTTTCGTATAATATGAGCTCAATTGGTGAAAATAGGTATTTGAGGACTTAATTGATTGTCCTCAAAGAAAGAGAGAGACGGGATCAGTCATGTAATTTATATAAATTAAAGAACAATAAAAAAATTAAATCAAGGATCATTGATAGGCCATAGAACTATTATCCCCTTGCTTGATAAAATAATGCCAACACTATGATCGGTAACGTAGAGATTTCACATAATGTTTTTAAAAAGTGAAAAAAATCAAAATAATTTCTAACCTGATATTTGTCTGAAACCATGTGTCTAAGTCGCTGATAATAAACAGGGCCAATAAATATCTCACATGTTAGTTCTGTTCCATAAACCCCACTGTATAATACCTCTACTCCATGGTAATTAAACCCACGATCCCTTAACATGGAACCAAGTTCATCAACAAGAGAATCAGACTCCGTCTCAGTCTTTCCATTAGCTCCCTTGACTGCATCAGAAAATGGTGTTGCATCCACAAATTTCCCATGTAAGCTTCCTCCCTGTGATACAAAATATTTAAAAATCAATGGCAACAATATTGGTCTTGATTCTTGAACTATTGAGCTTCTCAAAATCCTTGCAGTATAATTTGAAAACATAATACTTCACTCTTATGAACTCCAGATAATTTGGACTCAATTATGATAGTTGTCATAAAGAATAAAAATTGTAAAAGAAAAAGGAAGAATTTTAGTTTAACCAACTAAAACAAAATCACCTACAATTCTTAGACAAAATGCTCAAACTAATGAACCAATTGAAGTTTGAACCTTAAAAAATAATTCCTTCTTACTGCATTTTAAGGTTCCATTGAAGATTACTCATTAATCAAAAATTTCATTGTTCACCAATTTTCGAGTTTCAATGTCACATGCATGCATTAATCACAAACTCATCTCCGCGACTAATTGTTAGTACCTTAGCAGCAACAGATTCCAAAAGCATTGCAATTGTCATTCTTGAAGGAAATGCATGAGGATTGATTATAAGATCAGGGCGCATTCCTGTAACTCCAGAGAACGGCATATCAATATCTGCCCACAACTGAGAGCAAACACCTTTCTGGCCATGTCTGCTGCTAAATTTATCACCAATGACAGGGTTTCTTGGATGTCGAAAACGAATATTAACCTGGTCAAAACAGATGTGTATAAAAGACAGTAAGTATTAGCCAAGAGCATAAGAGCATGATGATGTTTAAGTAATCAATGACTAATAGATTTCAGAAGAAAATAATGTTTCCAGATGACCTCTTGTACAACAAAATATGATAAAAGTTAAAATCATTAAAACGAGAGCTTATTTTAGCAAAACAAAACTATAGAACAAAAGCATTAAGTAAATAAAGTAAAGGTGTTATTATACAACTATTGCTTTCTACTTATTCTAAACTATTTAGTCCTGTAAGATGTTAACTGTTTGACACATAAGAGAAAATATGATAATGCCGAAAGTAATGCTAATGATCTCTTGGCTATCAATTCAATATTTCCTAGAAAATAATGCAACTGATCTCTTGATAAAGCAGAAGATAACACTAATGCTATGTCTATTTTAACACTGAAAGGCGGAAAAGCTGAGCAACACTGGTAGCATTTTATCTAGAAATTACAAATGCAGAAAGTTCGTTACTATAATCTATTCAATATATGTAGGATTGCAAGTGTGTGTTTAGCCTAGCTTATGGAAGAACTTTTCTACTGCAAAAGCAGACAATGTCTGGCTCTCATAGTTTTAAAATTTTTAGCTTATCTATTTGAGCTTTTAAACAGAGCTACAAATTCAGGATCCGATAAAAAAGTGCTAAACATGTAATAACAAATATTGGATGAAATTTTTTATATTCTCGTATTATCATTCAATAATTTAGAAAATTATAGGAAGAATTATATTATTTTACATTCATATTTATTATTTGGTCCAATTTTTCTTCGGATTACATATATTTTTAATTATAATTAATAAAATGTTTCTTTATTTTATGGAAAATTATCTAATATGCCACCGGTAGAGTTTTCAAACTCCAATGGGGTTAAAAGATAAACACATATTCTATGAAGGTATATTTAGAAAAACACTAAATGAATATAATAAAAAAGGATAATGTCAAATCTTTTAGCCCCTACTTATGGAGTTTAAAAACTCCATGGATGGTTTATGAAATAATAATCCTTATTTTATTTATTTCTTTTATCTAAAAACTTATGATTCAGTCTAATAAAGTTCATTGTTCTATTTTTGTCATTTATTTTATTTAAGTTTGTCAAACATTAAATTAGCTTCTCTTTACAATACATTTAGAACTCTACTCAAACAACACTTGTGACAGAAGCCCCAGCAAGGCCAAACAATCCCTAAGCTTTTCTCTGATAATGAACGAGTATGAAATATGCTGTACTGCTTACCTTCTGAAGATGCTTCTTGTTTTTTGTATCAACTGTGACATAGTCAACAATTGCTGTTTCTGAACCCTTACGGTTGAAGATTTTCTTTGAATTTGTCACCTGATTAATGGTACTACAGTAAGGTGCATTTGGATGTATCACCTGAAAATTGTCACCAACAAGGTGGACCACAAAATAATAGCACGAAAGAGTTTGAGTTTTGATCATTGTTTTAACTGACGAATAAAAGAGACAAAATACAAAATAGAATCTAACCTGACCAACATATGGAAGTCCATCTGAATCAACAAAAGAAGATATTGACTTATCTGAATGTTCTCTTTTAAAAATTCTTTGACCTCGATCTGACTTGCTCTTACTGTCACACAAGTCAATAGTTTCCGTCTACAAAATTGATCAAAATATTAGGATAAGCAACAGTAAAAGCCACATAACAAGAAAATGTATGTGTCAGCATTAGCGTGAAACAATATGAGACAGATAGAGAGAAACAAATCAGAGAACATTATACAAGAAAAGAGAGAACTTGTAAATTGATCATTTGACAGGTAAGGGTTCTTTAACATTTAAGGGGTGTATGGGAATCCCAGAACAAGGGAAGCCAAGTACAACAGAAATAGTTCTGAAGACAGTTTCACAACTTCACCTATTCAAAGATTCAAACTACTAATTCTTAAATAGTCAAAATAATTGAGAAAATCTCCTTGAGAATTGGTTCCATAAGTTGGAATACTCCAAAACTATGAAGACAAGAAACAAAAAGCCATGCAGGAGAATAAGAGCAAACCTGATATATTTGTCCATGACACATCCCACGTTCCACGGATGACTTATTCAAAATCATGGCATCCTCCATATCATATCTACATAATACGAAATAGTTAGCTTTAGGGTACTTCAACTTGACAATGTTACTTCACATACTTATCTAAAAAGCATACCCTGTATATGCCAGAACCGCTACTATTGCATTAGTTCCCGAAGGATAATTATCCATGCAGTACTTCGTATATGTTTTTGTGCGCACGATTGGAGTTTGAGGAGTCTGAAAATAGCCCAGAAAATTTGTGTATGAAAAGCAATAACAAGGTCACAGTTGCCATTAACATAGTATAGTTGATAGAGCTCCCAGGCCCCAGTAAAAGCAGACAAAGAAGATTAAAATAAGTATCTTCCACAAACAAATTAAGAAAGGGTGGTAAGGAAGATAAATAGTTAAAAAGGAAAAAATATAAGGTTAATGTAATTAAATGACAAATTTTTCCTTAATTAAGATTGATCGAATACACTACGTAACTACTTGATATAGCAAAACTGAAACAACAGTTGTATCTCGCTAAAAGAAAAATCTAATCAATCAATTAACATATAAGTGCAACACCTTCCAAATGGCAACCAGTGGATAACTGCTTTCTGTACTACTGGCACTAAAGGGACTTTGTGTATAATGTATATTAAATAATTGAAAGAAATTATTGTATTGACCAGTAGTGAACAAATTAGTATATTACCAATTCATCCCAGCCACTTTTATGGTCAAATGCCAGTGCCCATAATTATCTTTCAACCCCAACCACCTTGCCACCAAAATATACCCCCCTAAAACCCTAATTTTCTCCTAATTTAACCCAAAACATCTCACATAGGGAAATTACCCTAGCATGACTTGTGCCAATAACTCAGCATCACGAGCAGGAACAGCCCCATATAGAGAAATGACTAACAAAAGGATTTCAAATAAAGCATAAACACCAAAGGAAAAAACTAGAAATTAGTACAAAAATTAAGAACCATGTTTGCTTCCCTGAAAAAGGAACAAAGAATATCAAAGGAAAAAGACCTGAAGATGATACAGCTTTTGATCTGCACGTGACTGAATTGCTTGTAAAGAAAATGCCATTGTTTGTTTTGCCATCTATGAACCCAAAAACAAATAAAGAGTAAAAATATTGAACATTACAAATAGAATACAGTGCCTTTTTAGGAACATGGTAAAAACCTGGCACTGGTACATGTTACGTGGACTTTGATTATGATCTGACCAAGGTGTAAGATTAGCAACCACACTAAGCATTGCAGTTGGAGTAAGTTCTTCATGAGTTGCAGGAAAACTATTACTTCTTCCTCCATTCCCACCATCTGGACATTTTATTTCCATGAAAACCTACAAAACAGAAGAATTAGCTCTCGTCTGCTAAATTGGAATTTTGAACTGGTTCACATGATTACAGTCTGAAATTTAAACATAAAATGTTATTGATCTAGAAAACAGAAAACAAATCTGTATTCACCTGTTCAAATGGCCCAATAAGTTCAATATCCTTCCCATCCACAGAAGGGATAGAAATGTTTCTGACCGGCCGAATAAATCTAGATGGTGTAGTGAACAGGAACAAACCAGGATATGTGCCTCCCAAGCTCAAAGGAACATATCCCACTTCCAAGTCATCAGGAATCTGAAATACACAACATAAATTTTAAAATAAATTTAATAAAAAAGGAATCACACAATGAGCATCAAAACAGACCACTGAAGCAGCTGACACTTTCAATCTCCGCAAATGAGCAACAACTTTGTCAGCTTCACCAGAAGGTAAAGAGCCAATAACACAACCATCTAAAAGAACGGGAAGAACTTGAGGAGGCCCAGCATGATCAACTTTGGGCCATGAGGTTGTCATTCCAACCCCAACTAGAACATCAAGAATAGACATTCTTATTTTAAAAAAATCTCTGATATTTCCTTGTGAGTTGTAGTACGATGTAATTCCTGACACAAAAATTAAACACAGAAATTACATGTCAATCCATAAGAATAACACTTGTAGCAATTTGTGGATGAGAAATCAAACATTGATGAGTTTGTACATGTAATTTGTTCCTTTTCCTTTAAGGCTAAAAAACAAAGGAAAAAAAGATTCAGCATGAAATTTGAAGCCCAAAACAACCAAATTTTTTCAGTATTTGTTTTAATTGGAAGCTAGATTCATCTATTAAAATTAATTGTAATTTCAAGCCCCCTGTTTTGATTGCTTTTAGTACATTTTTAATGATATTTTATGAATCAAATCATTTCTAAGTTTTATTTTATTAAAAGAAAAGATAATCAGCAGGTTATGCATTTGGAATATAAATAGGAATGGGCTATAAAAGGGCAATTGTGTAATTATGACACAACCATGGAAAAAACTGCCGTTTGATACCTATATTTTCAACATTAAAACCGGTTATAGCAGTTTCAGACAGTTATAACAAATAAATTTGCCTTCTTTCGTAAGCAATGACAATGCTTCAGGAAGAAATAAGCAACAACAATCACAAGGTAGGGGCCAACAATGTCAAGAACATGCTAAAACATCTATTGACATCCTTGCCTTCAACATTGAGGCTCCTCTATGGTTGCTTGAAGAAAAAATTACTTCAACCAAAAAATTTAGACATTAGATGCAAAAACTATTCACAGATTCACACCTTTTTGTGGCAAAACAAAGCGAATAAAAGTTGAACTTACGGCAAGTACAGGTCATGTGGTTCAGCAATCCACAAGGCTCCCCATCGGGAGTGTGCACCGGGCAAAGAAAACCCCAAGATCTATATATCAGAAGAGGGGATATTACCAAAAAAAAGCCACATGAATATAGTAGTTTAAAGTAAATAAAAAGAAATTTCAGACTATATTGGCAAGCAGATACATACTCAGGTAGCAACTTGCGAACACTGGTCGTACGAAGTCCAGCAAATGAAGCCCCACGATGAACAGACCGAAAAAACGAAATAAAACGTAGATAGTTAAGCCTCTCTGCCTGAACCGTGAAACCAGCCCTCTAATGAAACAAAAGAAAACTCAAATGATTTTTTCCAACATTTACAAGTGCACCCTATAACATTAAACATGTTATGCTGTATAATAAAGGCAAAACAAAGAAAGCTTTCAACATAAGATGCATAGGAGATATACACAATAAATAAAAATTTCACAGAAGAGAACCCTCAGATATGTGAAGAAGCAAATTTTAATAGTTAGAAATCACCTCAAAAAGGCAGTTACTTCAATTATTAGTTTAGGAGATTGATGATTTAAAATGTGCATGAATATTCTCAAATTATGCTTCTAAATCAACCTAAATGTGCTAATTGGTTTTGACTTTTATAGCAGACTCAGCAGCACACCTTTCAACCTCCTCAGACACAAGCATCTTGTGGCAAAACAGATTCTTTTTCCTTTAACTTCAAGTTATCCAAAAAATAATTGTTATAGATCTAACTGCAGTAAATTGGGGATTATTTTCAACAAGAATAAAAAGCATCCTTTCCAACCATGCAAGTTAAACTAAATGGTCATATTATGTCATTGTGCACCCTAGAATCACGCCTTGAGAAGATCAGTAAAAGCAAGGTCCCTTTTATAAAGCAAGGTCCCTTTTATAGTTTCAACCATGTCTTCTTTGAAGTTCCTTTCACTTTTTTTTACATGGGTAATTACAACGGGAGGATATCACCTACAATAATTGTACTAAAATTAACCGATCAGATTTTTGAGTTATGTAGGGTCAAAATATTGTATGGAGTCCACTCTTATAAGCGGTGGACCCTCACATCATTTTTTATTGTTATTGGACAATTGTAGCATTGTAGTAAAAAGAATTGCAGTTGAAATGCTCCCATCTACATCAAGTCACATCTTACATGTGCTGCTGTATGCTTTTATCTCACACATACAAATCACCTTGAATAAGTCCCTTACTTTGCCCTCAATTATCATTACCTCCACCTTCCATTGATGAATCAATTGGATTTATTATTTTAAAACCACAGAATTTTTATTAGATGTATTAACTGCCTTCTATTGTTCTCTAGTTCAGATACATTCACAGATATAAAGTCATCATTAAATAGAGCTCTCTGACTGGTATTGCACTTTCATTCACTGGAATCCTTCTGTTGCTATACATAGTAATTGAGTTGAAGTGAAAATTAGGTGAATTTACTAACAGCAAGGAGCATTATTAATCATCTTTGTACAACCACCAAAAAGAAGAAAAGTTTAACCTAATATAGCCGGTCAAATTTGCAAACATGGTCATGGGCAAAGAAAGTCACTACCCAGTTATCATCCCACCAAAGCAAGACCATTAAATGAAATGAACAATAAAGGTCATTATGGTTATCAGGGGTAATTGTGCTTGGGCTTGGATGGGAGCTCAAGCAGTTGTAGAATGAGTTTAACAAATGGGAGGAAGGAAAGAATATACAAACTAAAACAGCATTCAATATCATAGTTTAAGTTAACAGATGCACACATTTTTTGTTTAAAGTTGGCAATAAAAACATATGAAAGAGCTAACCTGCTGTAAATCTAAACCTGTCTGTGTTATCAATCTTCCAGTTTTCAACAAATTCTCAATTGCTGCACTGATCTGCTTTGCAGAATTTTTGTCCATCACCTTCTTGACATCTTTTACTGCATCAGCCCACAACCAACAAAAGCAATATCAGTCCACAAGCAGAAAAAAGTGGCACAATCTTTGCAAATTCCGAATCTGACATCATAAATCTTAAGCAGCAAGTTCGAACAAGATGAAGACTAAATTTGTATGCTTAGAAATTTGTTAAATAGTTTCACGGCTGTGTTAGGTACAGATGTTAAGTAAGGTAGGTCAGATCAGGCAAATGTTGGGCTTTTTCAAGTTCAGAACATATTGGATTGTTTGGATTGTTGACTTGTCAAGTCAATTCAGGTTAGCTTAAATCAGGTTCATCCAGCTTTTACCAAATTGAACATTCCATGAAAAGACCACTGCACTTACACTAACTGCAGTAGTAGAATTACAAGTATATCGTCGTTCAAAACCAATAAGTGCAACTAATGAACTAGTAAAACTTTCAGCCACCAACAAGATTCAAAAGAAGTGAAATATTAGAAACTCTATAAAACACAGCATGATGGCACAGAAAGAGAAGGCAACTACCAAAAAAAGATAGAAAAGGCAAGAACATAACATACAGCTGCAGAAATCAAAATTTTTGTCTTTGTTGTTAATCATATCTTCAATAAGCTTTTTTCCTTTGCGCAACCAATCTTCAAGTTTCTCCTGAAACCAAATAAACAACTGGTTAACATTCAATCTTTATGTGAAATTACATCAATGGGGCTAAATTAACATGGTTCAGATACCACTACTTGTACCATGCATTAGTGGCCAAAATAAGAGGTCAACGATAAAAAAAAAAAAATCCTGGTTTGATAGAAAACAAAAATAAATAAGACTTCTGAATTCTGATAATCAAATAACCGCTAAGAGGTCAACTGCAAAAATAATGTATACTACATATAAATATGGTTTAAGGGGTGTGAAATTTTGAGTGAAGATTATATCACCCTTTTGCTTTTGATTGAAGTTCCAATTATGTCATTTTATTATTTATTTTAAATAATTGTATTTAATTAACAGTCCTTATCCTGTTACACTAAAAACAACATTAGAAAAGTCATAAATCTTGTCATTAAATAACTAACTTTAATTGAAAATAACAGTTAGTTAATCATTAATAGAATTTTTATCGTATTAAAATAACTTGTAAATAGTATTATTTCAATAAAAATAATTAAAATAAACAAATAATATGATCCACATGCAAATTGCATGCAATTAACTACAAATTAACCACGAAAGGTCAGCCAGTTGATGCATCTCATCATATTTTTAGTAAGAATTTAGTACCCTGCTAGTACAAATCTTCCATAGATTCTTTAAAAATTAAAACACGAAACAAGAAAATAAAAAAATACAAAATTTCTTCAAATAGTTAAGAGTGTTTCTACCTTAAGGTAAATGGTAATGAGATGACCAGGAAGTAATACTTCCTGATTTTGCAAGGAATCTGAGTTATCGGGTGCAGAAGTTTGATCTATAAGTGAGAAAAGTTTCTGCACCATAAAGCTAAAGAGAAGAAGTTAAACAGAAATCCGAAAGCAATAAAGGATTATTGTTTATGAAACAACTGAATGTTTAAAGATTATTCTAAAATATGAAGCTTAAAGTAGGGATAAAGAGAACCCCTGTAACTTACATGATTAGATTAAACTTATCATTGTTGTCACTCAAATGAACAAATATATAATTCCTCAGCACAGCATCAGCAACCTACATATATAACATTCAAAATAAATAAAACATTAAATAGTGCATCAAATGTCTCAGAATTCACTCTAAAAGAGCCTATGGGAACAAACTAGCTTCTTTTATCTTTACAACATACAACTTACAGAAGAATAATTCTCACTTTCCATTCCCTCCATAACAGGTTGGAAGTGTTCCCCTACATTGACAACACGGAATTAATATAGATGCTTAACATATAAAATAAAATAATAACAAAACAAGTATAATAGTAAGCACCAATATGCTGTAGACACTGCTCCTGAGTAAAAAGCGCCAAGTGCCGGACTTCATCAAGAATAATCTTGGTCCTTTCACCAACAAGTTGAGTGCCAACAGCCCCCTTTACTTCCCCATTTTTCTCATTATAGCAGCATGTCAATTTTGTATAAATTTCGTGATCACTAGTGTCAATCAGAGCCTAGTAAGAACAACCAGAATTAGACAAGAAAAGGATGTGAATTTCATGAGCTTAAAAAACTAAAAGGAGCTAGCATCAACTTGCTGCTGGAAATGTGATGAAGGAGTGAGTCAATTGAAATTTAATTTTAAGTTGCACTAGTAAACAATTGAATAACCTGGATAGAGAAGCACAGAGATATAAGAAGGTGGGACACTAAGGAGTATGCTACACATAGAAATCATATTTTGAGGCTTGCACCTCATGCAGAAGCATATACTGAAACAGGGAGGAGTTGAAAAGATTGGGACAATAACAAACATCATTCTGATGCAATATAAAAAAAAATTTACCTGCAACAAAAATATTATGAAGAAAAGACAACCACTCTAAAATCATAAGTTTTCAACCAAACAAAAGCACTTCAGAAAAGCAGCGATTAACTGAATTGAGTGAAAGATGAGGCTCAAACTAGTACAGGAGAAAAAGATAACAGATGATTAGTGGAACATCGCTTCAAATGACAAAGCAAGAACAAGTACATACACTATTTGAAATAACTCCAATCAACTATCATTGGGGAAGAGAAATTCTAATAAGTACAAATTGGGGTATTTAGAACCAATACTTCATTGTTCCAAACTAGGGCTCCATCATCCCCAACATTTCATCATGATCTTAACCCAAATCAAGCAAAATTCTTCAAATTATATGAAAACCCATTTCAAATTCATAAAAACTCATAAAAATAAACACAGTAAAAGAACCAAATAGCAATTTTGAGAACAAAAGGATAATTTTATTTTGCTGTTGGACTCAGTTGGAGGAGTTTTGCCAAGGTTGGCATGTGTTTTTTGGTGGCGTTTTGTAGGTCGCCTTGGATGAAGGAGGCTGGCTTTCAACAGATCAGCTTGGAGATTGAGGCTTAAAAAGGGGATTGTCGAGGAAAGAAAGCTATTGGAGGGGAGAAAAAGATGTGGAGGAGGAGTAGGCTTTTATGAGGGCTTGTGAACTTTCTTGGTGGCTACAAAGGGAAACTTACAGTCGGAGGAGATTGGAAGTGGAAGGAGTTTTGGTGGTTGTCTTGTGTTTCAAGGAAAGGAAGAAAAGAGTGTGGAGGAGAGAGGGAGATTGTGGAGTGGGAGAAGGAAATCAGTGCTGGAATGGTCATCGGTTGCTTCAGAGGTGGTCAACAGAGTTGGGTTGTGGGTCTGCCTCAGTTTATGAGGGTTTGTAGGTTGTTGAGTTGTTAGCTATCTGTTGTGGATGAGTTTAGGTCATTGTCTTCCGACCTCAAAAGAGGGAAGAAATTTTCCTCATATTTAGGTGTTTTCCATTGACCAAGAGTTCATTTTTGGTTGACTAAATCTTTTTCAACATCCAAACATCAGAAAAAACAAAAAAATTGCTTCTAGAAGCCATTTTCTGGTTACCAAACAAAGCCTAAAATTTAACAAAAATAAAGTAAAACAAAACTCTATACTGATAGATACATAAGCTACCTTTCAATAACCGTGTTTATTTTTGAACATCAAGAACACCATAACATGTTATAAACTAGAATGTCATATCATCTTATTGGATGCATTATAACACTAGAGAAACCATTATCCACAATCTCCCAAATCAGGCAATCAACATAAAAGAGGAGATGTTCCCAAAATTGAAGAGAATAATTCTTACAAAATGCCCTAAATGATGGAAATGCCAAAAGCATGCAAGAAGTTTAAATATCAATTAACAGAGATCAGTGTTTTGTGCCTCACTTCTCCACCAACAGCATGATGTAATGCTTACAACTTCTAAAATTCCTTATGAAATCCATATACTACTCAAATACTCTGAAACATATTAGACCACTAACAGAAATTTGATATATCCTAACTGACATGATGTATGTGCTCCCACACAAAAAGTCCTGATCAGAAACATCAAACTTTATAGGACAAACATGATTCCAACTGGTTTTGAACATGATTCTATACATTTTCCCAAAATTTTATAGCATATGCACTAGCGAAAAGACAAAAAACGGTCTTTCACATTATTACATAAGAAAGGCTTGAGGAGATTATATATAAAAGAACTAGTGACAAAACCTTTAGTACAATGCCTACAGGAAGCATGTATTCCCTCCCCTGTATCCTGCAAGAGTGAATTAAAACGAAATGTATATAGCTTATTTCAGAATCAAAAACCAAAAGCATCATTGTTCTACTTCCAGCTCGGAGTTTCTTACCAGAATCCAAGTCTTGCACTCCCATTATGAAGATAATATAACTTAACTGTCACTGAAGATAGATCTTCTCTCACACACCTATAATGACAATTATATGAGTATCCAAAAACAATTAGAGCAGTAGAGTAAGAAAGATCTAATAAGATCTTAAGTGGTCCAATGAGATGATGAAATATAAACTTGAACAAAAAGAAGGTAATTATATCCATAAAATATAAAGAACCTTATCACAACTGCTTTATCCGTATAACCTTCCCGACGATCACGAAATGAATTCCGTACCAAGCTCATCGGCTGAAAATAAAATACTGCCTCAGGAATGCAAAATTTTGTAATCAAGGAAAAGATAAAGGAAAAGAAGAGCAACTAAGAAATGGTGATGTGTCAATAGATTTAGTATTCTATTCTAGATGCTTGAATGATATTAATTTCATTGACCTGAAACACAAAAGGTCACTGAAGAAAGTAAATAATTTGTTAGCAAATAGAGTAGAACACTAAAACTTGCAAGAGATTAAATTGTAAATCTAGCTTAACTCATCAACCAAAATGAGAATGTTTTCCCTGTTAGTTAACAGAATAATATACAAACAGAGGGCTCACTCACATAATTCCTTTTCGGCAATATCAATAGTCGGACAACTCTCTCAAGCCCATTCAGAATGAAGTAACTGCATAGCATGAAATTTTTAAATGGCTATTAATTTTAAGGGGAAAAATCACAATTAGACAAAAATGGAAAGAAAATAGTGCACTATGCATGATTCATGTGTTTGAATCATTCATATAATTGATTTCCATATGAGATTCATATAGGTTCCACACCAGAAACAAACAATCAATTGTTTATTTATAGTATAGGGTGTCTACGCTCCTAAATACAAGAAATATGGGCTGGGCTTAAATGATCATGATAACACAAGATGTGTAGAGCACTTGTAGACTTATAAAACAGCAAAAAGCAAGATGAAAGGCAAGCAATCTGAAACTTATGATCTACAATAATAAACTTTCAAACACACCTAAAAAATGGGCATGCTGGTAATGTTTAAACTTCTATGGATGTCAAACACAATGGTTGAAAGGTCAATGAATTACTCACCCACCCATTTCAGATGACTCTTCTTTGCAAGCAACCAGTTTTTTGGCATCAGCATCGCGCAAATAACAACGTTTTGACTGCATAAAAATAAAATACACTCAGCCCATGACTACCAAAGTAAAGCAAAAGAAAAATTATAGCATAGATAAATCCAAGGAAAGGGCAAATTTGGATCAAAAAATACTACACAAAGTACTTTGCACATCTCTTTGTGCACAGGCAACCCATGAAGACGAAATATGTTGGAAATTAAATGTGAAGATATTCGTTAATTCTGCAAACTGCCAATACAAAAGGATTTGTATTCCTCCTGCAGGGGTCATGACAGTCATGCTCCTAATTTATAATAATGATTTTGGAAACATAGCCTCCCTCCTACTACCCCTTAATTAAGGACAGAAGAGGGTGCAAACAAAAATGAATCAACCACTGGGTCCTTTTTTATTTTTGTTTTTCCTTTTCTCTTCTCACCTTGCCCCTCAAAGCATAGGACATCTACTTAAAAATTATGCATAACAAGTAATTAGCATATTCATCACCAGAATAAATATGTCCTACAACACAACCAAAGCAAGACCCATTTGCAACATGGCAAACAATAGAAAAGTTTGATATAAGTATATTAAAAACTTTTGGTTTTGAAAGATTTACTGAAAACAATTAGTAAGATAAAAATACAATCAGGACATAAAAAGGTATAACGAAGTTAACATGGCACAGGTTAGAGCAAGAATACAAAAGTAACAATTTGATGTATTTAAGAAACGTGAAGAAGCTGACAATATTAACAGCAACTTGAACTAAAAGTTTCAAGCCAACACAAAGAGGAACCAGTAATGCAGCCAGGGTTTTAGATAGCCATGTCCTACATGGTATGTCATGTATAGAACAAGTGCATTTTTTGAGCTTTAGTAGATATATACCTACAAACTCTGGCAAATAGCTATAAACTCCAGCCTTAGGACTTTGATAAAACTTCCAAAAACTTATTAATAGAACTCCGTCACCTTATAAGATATCACAACATATAGAATATGCTTTAGAATTCTTGGGAAACTAAAGAAATTAAACAAATTAAATACTAAATAAAGATGAAAACAAAGTAACAACACCACCTTTTGCAATTAATCACTTAAATCTTATCAAAATAAGGCTATGGATTCAAACAATGATCCATATCCAGCAAACTAAATACCCTCAGTTCTGAAATTAAAGAAAATAAACAAGCATAACAACCATTTGTAAAACAATATTCCTATAATCTAAAATTAAATTTCTCATAATCTAGTTAAAACATGTTTATTACAACTCCCTTATTTGAACACAATCATCAAACAGTCTTCGCAAAACATAAAATTTAGTAAAAGACGGAAACAAAGATCGAAGAAAACTAACCCTTAACATTATAGGAAATTCTCCAAAATTAACCTTTTCCCTTATAACAACTCCACCATCCCACTGAAAGCAAACATCTATATGCAAGCTCCCTGTATAAGAAATTTTTGCTTGTCTGCACTGTTTAAAAAGAAAATTCCAATCAATTAATGAATAAAGTGAGAACCATACAATAAACCAAAGACTGAAAATTATGATCTAAAATTTTACTTCAAATGGATGCAAAGCTCCTACTGACGTCTTTGAAGACCGTTCCTTTTGTGGTGGATATACCTCAGGATGGTCCAGCCAGAGTAAGATACAAAGTCAAGAACAAACATCAACCACGTTATACAATTACATTCAAAAAAAAAAAAATTTAAAGTTCTGTTTGGTTATCACACTCTTGTAACACTAATTCCAACATAACTGTAAAACCATGCCTTCCATTCATTAAAAAATAAATAAATTTTTAGTTTTTAATTCATCAATCACACTTTTTTGCCCTTCCTGGAAAAATAAAATTAGCAAAAGCAACAATCAAACAGCAAATTATTCTTTAGCCACAAAATTTTGGCTAATTTCTCAAAAAAATAAAGTTATAATTACAATTTAAGTCCATAATTCACAAAAAATTAATTTTTTTACTTCAATAATCGAAAATATAGGTAGCAAAAAGCAAATGACAGAAACAGCAACCAAAACGAAAACTAAAAATTATATTTTTAAAAGGAAATTCGAATAAAATAAATTCCAAAAGAAAAGGATATTTCTAAGGGTTTTGTTGGAGAAAGAATCAATGATTTGCACAGGCTTGACGCGTTTAAGCATAATTTCTAAGCCTCCATCGATCATGTAATCGAAAGACTCGATATGATGTCTGAATAGCTCCTTTAATTCTTCTAGCTCTTTCGCGCTTGGAAGCTGCCCCGGTCTCCTTTTACTCTGCCCTTCCATCGCTTATAGTATCTGGTTGATCTGAGTAAGGAGAAAAGTTTGCGGACGGCAAAGGGTTTAGGGTTTAAAAAATAAACACAGTGACGCACATAACTGTGTGTTTTCGGGGAGGTAAAGGGTTTAGATTTGAAAATATAGGCCTGAATGGGCTGGGCTGCACATTGTTTGTTTTTTTTTTATAAAATATTAAAAATTTTTAATTAGACTCTTATATTATTATTGTAACTAAAGAAGCCTCTTGGCTCTTAATTTTTTATTAATTAAGCTTTAAAAACAGAGAAAATTTCAAAAAAATTATTAAAAATAATAATATATAAGATACCTACTCATATGATACCTAAGCTCAAAAATTTTATGTTCTATGATACTACTATGAATTTAGATCTTTCTAATTCAACTAGGACTATAATTCTTTAGTTCAAAATTAAAAAGTGATTATCATATGTACATATAATTAAAATATATGTACATTTAATCAAACAATATGCATAATTACCTTTCAAATTATACATTGGAGGTTATAAAAGTAATTTTAATTTTTTAAATTTTACGTATAGACATTTTATCTTAATTAATAAAAAATTTCTACATGTAAAATTAATAAAAAAATATCTATATTTATATGGAAATTAATAAAATTAAAATTAAAACCACTTTTTAAATTTTCATATATAATATAAATATTTTTATTTTTTATTGATTTTATATATAGATATTTTATTTTTACTAATTATTTTCTATCATGATATCAAATAATTAATCTTTTTTATTAATTTTTATATAAATAAAAAATTTTATTTTTTTATTAATTTTATATAGATATTTCCTTTTATTAATAAGTAAATATTTTACATACTATTTTTTTTACTAATTATATTCGATAACGGTATCAAATAATTAATCCTTTTTACTAATTTTTATGTAAATATAGACATTTCATTTTTAGTAATTTTATATATTTATTTTATTTTTAATAATTATTTTTACACAATGTCAATTAATAAAAATTTTTGTTAGATTATCTTTTTCCAATTTTTCTTTTTTAATATTTATTATCATGTGTGCATTTTTCTCAGCAAATATCCTAAAATATTTCAACTAATTTAAGTGTAAACGAGTTTAGATAATGAAAAGTAAAAACTGAAAGATTTATTTAAATAAAATAATAGTATAAATATTTAATTATATTTTTTAAAATATTGGGAAGGCCTTTTGTATGTTTTAATTTATTTTTAATGAATGATGTGAAGAAGAAAAAAATTATGTGGAGAGCAAAAATATTAAAAAATGGCTTAAACTTTAGAATGGATAGCGGGTTTAATTGGAATAGGTTGGGACTACAAATGGAAATAAAAGTAAACTATTTATTATTGATTCCTAATTTTTTTTTAGTGAAGTTAATTTGTGCTTAAATTTTATTTTTCGTGAGCTTAATGTTATGTTGTTTCTCAATTTATTTTAGTGGAGTCAATTTACTCTTAAATTTTATTTTTAATGAGATCAATTTACTAATTACACTATATTAATCATATATTATAAGAAATTAAATTTTAATAAGATCAAGTGACCCCACTAATTATCATTTGGCTTTACTCTAAATAATGCATTATTTATAACTATTTGGTTTCTATAAAGTTTTTATTGGGTTATAAATTTTTTGAAAGATTGCAATAAAACAATAGAAGAGATTTGGACTAAGTTGTTAACTATTAAAACCCTAGAAACATTTATGATAGTTACGATATTGATAGCATAACAACTTGTCACTACAATGATAATTTATGGTAAATATTTTTTTATTTATATGTTTTAATTGATTAAAATTTTTATAACATTTTTTTTATTTGAGATTTTTCGGTATCCAATAATTATTATGAATCTCGATTAATTTTTATTTTTTTCATTCATAAAATTTAAAATCGAAACTTTATTTAAAAAAAATTAAACTCTTTATCACTCCAATCAATAGTCATTTGGTATCTTTATAGCATATTGAATCAAAGGTTCAAGGGATTTGGATGGAATTTTAGAAATATTGAAGATATATGTGTTATTTTATCTTTTTTTTCTTAGACATTTTTGAATTTATGAAGTTTTTTTTTTTTTTTTCTTTTGCGGGCTTTGAGCCTTGGTGGATTGGGTTTTCAGTTTTTTTTCGCTGCCTATTTTTTTAAAATGACTTTTAACAAACGACTATTTAAGAAAAATTATCACGTTCAATGTGCGTTTTTTCAATATATTTATATTTGTTAAATTTTGAAAAAAAGAAATGATAGTGAGAATAAAGGGAAAATTATGAATAAAAAACATTTAATAAAATAGAAAATAAAAAGAAGTATAATTAGTAATATGCTATTATTACATAAACATTATTAAATTTTAAAAATTTTATTTAAATCTATAAAAAAAATTTTGAGTATCGAGATGTAGATTTGAAGTAGAGTGTTTTGTTTTTAAAGTTTGGAATGAGTTACATATGGTTCGATTTTATTTTTTACGTTAAAGTTATATGACACAGTTAATTGATTTATTTGATATTAATCAAGTATTAAATCAATTAAAATGATTGTTAATACGACGATTAACAAGTGTTAACTTGATAATTAAGATATTAATCTAGTGACTAAGATAAAACAATATTCATTTCTAATTTTTTAAACAAAATGATATAAAACAATCAATCTGTATCAATTTTTTTATAAATTTTGTATAAATATATTTACAAATATCATATTTTATCCATAAATAAAAATATTTTTTATATTAATCAAGTAATTTTATATAACTTATTAGTTAATTTTTGACATTTGATGACTCCCACAATGAAACGGGACCATCAACTAATTTAAAATAATAATAGTGTACCAAAAAAATTAATAATTATTACATTTCTAATCTTGTTTCCTATTGAAGAGAAGAGTAAATTTATATTATTCTATAAATGATTAAAATCATCGTCAAAATAATTATAAATAAATAAATAAAATTTTTTGATAAATAATAATAATAATAATAAGAAACACAATACCTCAAATTAGGGAAGTGAGAGAAAATAAATCTCTACTCTTTTACTCTAAGATGTCTCTTATGCTTCGTTTTTATGAAAACCACACTAATAATTGTGATATCTTAATTAATTAGGTTATAATGAAGTGAAAACTATATAATACTTATTTATTTTCTGAAGATTGTTTTTGTATTAGAGACTTACATATACATATATACATATTATTTTTCTCATGTATTATTATTACTTTATTACTATTTGAATTTTTTTACAAATAAGATCATAATTATATTTTTTTATCTATATTGTCTTAATTGATTAGTAATCTTCTATATGTATATAGAATCTAAGGCTTAACGAATTTGGATGAAATTTTTAAAATTATTGAGGATATATTTGTTATTTTTTATCCTTTTCCTTGGATATTTTTGGATTTGTAATGTTTTAGCTTTTTCTTTTGTGGGTTGTGAGCCTTTTTGTGCTTTTAGCCTTTTTTTTCTTCTTCTTCTTTTTTTTTTTAAATAACTTCTAACTAAAAATCATTTAATAAAAACTATTAAGTTTTCAATCAATTTATATTTTTTAAAAAATAGAAAAAAGAAATGATCATAACATAAATAAAGTGAAATTTTATTAATAAAAATAGAAATAGAAAATAAAATAAAGATAATTAAAGTATAATTACAATAAATTAAGAAAATTTTAAAAAATTTAGGTATAATTAACAATGTGTTATTATTCCATAAATAATATCAAAATTTTTAAAAAATACTTAAATGCATAATAAAAATTGAGTATTGAGAGAAAAAAAGTGTGAGTTTTGTTTCATTAGTTTTGATAATTATTTTTTAAGTTTTTAATTTACTTTTAAACTTCCTATCATACTACTTAGTTAGTTGAAAAAAATATTACGTGTATAACATCTTTTAAACTCACAACATCTAAGCATCAACTCCAATAATATGTCAATAGTTTATTTTGATAATTGTTGGTTTTATTTTTTAGAAAGAAGATTTGGGTTAGATTTTTTAAAAATTATATCATACAAATAAGTAGATTCAAATGTTTTTACAAGTTATTTGGTTATATTATTTTATATGTAAGTTTTTGTCAATAGTGTAATGTAAAATTTTTTTTTTATAACATTCAAAATAGGTCTTTTGTGCTATTTGCTTGATCATATTCAATTCTAATTTTTTAATAAAATGATATAAAACAATAAACCATATCAAGAATTTTTTTTTTATAAATTTTGTATGAATGTATGTTTATTTGTAATATCATATTTCGTTCATATAAAAATATTAATTATTTTTTTTTATAATTTATTAGTCAATTTTTTGTACATTTGATGACTTTCGCAATGAAATGAAGGCCATCACTAATATTGAATAATAATAGTGTCTCAAAAAAAAGTTGAAAATTATTTTATCTTTTATGCCATCAACTAATGTTAAATAATAATAATGTATCAAAAAAGTTGATAATTATTTTATTTCTTATCTTATTTTAAAGTGGAGAGATGAGAAAATTTATGACTTTTTATGATCAATTTAAAATTATCGTCAAAATAAATTTTGAAAAATAAATAATAACAACAATAATAACATAAAACCTCACATGAGGGAAGTTTGAGAAATTAAGGTAGCGTTTGGTTCAATAAAATATAGTTGTTTTTTGTTTTAATTTTTATAGAAAAATAAAATATATGGATAAAAACATGTTTAGTTTAAAAAATAAAAAATATTTTTTCAAAAAAGAAAATGAAATTGACCAAAATTAGAGAACAAAAAATAGACGTTTTCATTATTTTTATTGAAAACAATTTGAGAGTACTGGAGAATGTGAAAACACGGGACTTTAAAAAATGTTTACTCTATGTTACAAGGATTAGGATTATAAATGATATATTAATACTCGTAAGTTATTTGGGTTCGATTTAAATAAAACTCAAATTCGATTCGATTATTATCGAGTCGAGCTCGAGTAGTTCAACTTATCGATTGAGTCGAGTTCGAGTATTTTTTTATCCGATTCGAGTAGCTCGTAAGTCTAATCGAGCTTTTATATTTAAATTTTTATTATTATTATAATTAATAAAATATCTCGAA